TTTTCATTGTGTAAATATATTTTAGGAAGCAAAATATAAACTTGCATTGTACCTGCATAATGGATGTGAATAAAACTCAAAATATACAATCAATAAAAAACAAATATTCCATAACAGAATGTAACCAAATGAGAACATGTCAAGGCAGAACTATGTACTATGTAAGTTCGATTAATGGATACAATTCAGAGTCACTGTTATGACGCTTAAGAAACGTAAAACCTGGTTGTGGTACAGTGTCAGTGATTAGTTGTGAAATCTTAATGCATAAATTGAATCTTATTTAATCCTCTATATGAAAATGTATGTGCTCGAATTATTTCTATTTATTAAACAATAGTTCAAAACAAGACGTTTGTAGTACTGATTATTGGAGTCCATTAATCGAACTTCCATGCCTCTTATATAGTAATTATATATGTAGTATGTACCAATTTACTAATTAATGCAATTTACTAATGCTCGCACACACTCCGTCTCTCGCGCGCACTGTCACTTGCACGCAGACACACTCCGTCTCTCTCGCGCAGACACACTCGTGCTGCGTTCCAGTCCAAAAGCGTCATGCCCTTACTCGCTAACTTCCCTCCGTCTCGTTCACTCGGATGTACGTCATTGCTTACGTAGCACGAGTGCCCACTACTGGAGGAAACTGCAATGGGCTGAATTGGAACTTCCTAAGCCCTTGGTCACTTGGAATTAGCTATGGAGTTGATTTATTATTTAAAAAAAAAATGAGTTTAATGCAGCATCAAAATGTATATAAATCTGTTTGGGTTGTTTAAAAAAAAAAAAAAAAAAAAATCATAATTAATATATCATAGAGTTGTTTGTGGTGGTGGTGATTAGACAAGATTTGCGGTGATGTCACAATCGTGTTGCATTGTGGTATATGGAGCTGCCTGAAGTGTACAAATGAAGTAGACTCGCTCCTTCGGTCAAAATCGAGGGAGCGAGGGTCTGTCCATATAAATTTCACCTCGACGAGAAATATCATGTTTTAATATTGCGAGATCTTGTCGCACAAGATCTCGTCATACCCCTAGTTTTTTTGGATACCCCATTATTATTGTTGTTGTTGTTGTTGTTATTATTAAGATAGGAAAACCAATACATTATTAATTATTAATAATTATTAAAACACAAATTGCTGTAATATTAATAATACATATTATGTCATTGCTTGTCATTATTGTTTTTTTATAGTGTTGTATGAAGACACAAATATTTAGAATCAGGCAATGTCAAAATAAAGTGAACCTGCAGAGCTTTCTTTTCACATGTTATAAATAATCCACAAGGTTCTGTTGACATAAAGCTGAAACCACTGCAACGTCATTTCTTGTCAGTCAATCCAAGATGTTGTTCAGGTCGCCTGCCACAGTGGCTGGCAGATAAGCAAAATTACCTGCCACTTTGCAAAACATAACGTATTGGCTAGGGGCAGGTTTTAACCTTGCACGTCTGCAAAATTGGAAATATTTCAAGGAAAAAGATCAAAATGTTAAATGATAGCCCCTTTTTGCCAAGTTAACTTCTCATTGTTTTTGTTGAAAACTTTGTTGAATGGGAAGTTGTGATAGTCTTTCGAGCTTGAACGAACAATAACACACACAATTATGCCAAAATGTCGTTTTGTCGAGTATCTTCATAACATAAGAGCAGTCTCATGATGGACGAAAATAGTTGTGCTTGTGAGAGAATGAGGCGCGTGTGAGATCCGCGTCTCAGCAACGGCTGCTCTTAAAGGGATAGTTCACTTTGAAATAAATTTTTGGTATGTTTTAGCTTACCTTAAGGGCATCCAAGATGTAGGTGTCTTTGTTTCCGCTGTAGTTTCAATTTAGATATTTTAGGTCAAACCGTTCTTGTCTGTCAGTCATATAATGCAGGTCTATGGTCACCACCTCAAAGAGCATGCACAGAGAAGTCCAAAATAAGCATGATTTAATGACTCGTAAATGTAAGTACACATTGATGGGCTAAGACACGAAACGAGCGGTTTGTGTGAGAAAACGAACAGTATTTATATAGTTTTTACCTCTTGTAAACACAGCCACGTCCAAGTGATCTGAGGGCGCGGGCACTTCGGTCTTTTCCGGCAAGCGCCGGAAGTGATCTCTCGCGCGTGTACGTCACTCATACAATTGTTTTATTTTTTATTTTTTTAAATTGTTTTCTTTTACGACGGTTTAAATATCCCGGATAAGTGCAAATTAGTACCATTTTAATTAGCTGTCTTACCTACAATCTCTGCTCTGTGTAAACAATGAGTGACGTACACGCGCGAGAGATCACTTCCGGCGCTTGCCCGAAAAGACCGAAGCGCCCGCACCCTCAGATCACTTGGACGTGGCTGTGTTTAGAAGAGGTAAAAACGATATAAATACTGTTCGTTTTCTCACACAAACCGCTCGTTTCGTGTCTTAGGCCATCAATGTGTACTTACATTTACGAGTCATTAAATCATGTTTAATTTGGACTTCTCTGTGCATGCTCTTTGAGGAAGTGACCATAGACCTGCATTATATGACTGACAGACAAGAACGGTTTGACCTAAAAATATCAAAATTGAAACTACAGCGGAAACAAAGACACCTACATCTTGGATGCCCTTAAGGTAAGCTAAAACATACCAAAAATTATTTTCAAAGTGAACTATCCCTTTAAAGGGCCAGCAGCGAATAAAGCGTTCTGTCAGTAAAGTTAATCAAAGAATAAAGGGAACATAGAAAATTACTCACTGCTCTTGACTAAAGAACTTTTGTAGCTTTAATAAGGATTAATCTATATATAATTTATAATTCATGCAGCGCAGACTGTTTGATAACTTTATTCAATTTCTGTATATCCTACCTGTTAAGACAGGAAGGGCACAGGTAAATATGGCATTTATTATGGGTTTATGCGAGGATTGTTTGAAGTTCACTTAATTTAAAAGCTGTTATATTTTTTTAAGGCTAATAAATATTTTAAAAGTTGATAGCTTTCAATTGTAATGATGGAATCATTGTAATGTTGGAGGGTTATAATTAACGTTTAAAATGTGGGGGTGTCGTCATTTTTATCCAGACACCAATGGTTTATTGATCATTATAGGTGTTATCAATCATTTAGTTGTTGTTGCTAGTTTGACTTGAGAAATGCACATTAATACACAGAATGATCACTAATCTGTGTGTGCATTTTACTTTAGAACCAAGCAAGTTGACTCATGAAACCATTTGTTTATTAAATCGAAATCGCATATCGCAATCGCAATATTGACCTCAATAATCGCAAAATGACATTTTCCCAAAATCGTGCAGCCCTAATTTATTTCCATCAAGAAGTACAGTATAGGCTATCAATTTTTGGTCAAGATCTTGTATTGACAATGTAAGAGTCAAGCACTCTGTAAAGTCTACTCCAGCACATCCCAAAGTCTTTCGATTAATTTAAATTAATGTGTGAAAATTATTTTTCATGCTCCCTCCCAAACATTCTTTCACAATTTGAGCCTGACGAATCTTGACATTTTCATCCTGAAATATGGACATGATGTGTCTTCCTACATGGTTAAGAAATGAAAAGCTACATCAATTAGGGTTAGAAGAATTGTTGCCAAACATATAACAAGCTAGAAACATAATAATCACTGCAATAAGGATCCAACCATAGACACTTAAGCATTTGCCTATTTAAATCCAAACATCAACTTTTTTTTTTTTTTTGTTCGAGCAGTGTATATCGTTATTGTGGAATAAGAATTTGGTCCTATCGCCCACCCCTAGTAGTCACTTTATGAAGTAGGAAGGCACTGTATTTTAGTCAGACTGGGGAGTGTTGCTTGAGCTGCTGCTGTGCAACTGACCATTTATATGAACTGGATTTCCATCAGCTGAAAGCACATTGCAATGCATTTACCCTGTAGACAGCTTCGTTCACATCCTGTGAGAGGAAAAGAGTCTTGATCGTTCTGACCTCTGGGAATTTCACAAACAACACAGTCCAGCGTTAAGCAAGCAGATAGGGATCTGTGCTTTACGCACATGCAGTGGACATCTGCTTGGTTTATCTGTATAGGTAAAAGTAAAGATGATTATTTCTGGTCTCCTTAGGCTTTCTGCTTGGCTCAGCCTGGAAAAATGCTTCACTTTGCACCCACTCTCAATGTCACAAATTGGGTATGTAAAGCGTTGGTCTCCCCAAACTGTTATGGGCTCCACCATTGAGGAGCTTCCGGCAGTGCAAGTTTGAAATGTAATGTGAAACACAAATATCTGGATGGAGCAATAGCTCTTCATCTGGATAAAGAAACACCCAGTCTTCCACCTCTCCAAGAAAATACATATTTGGCAAGGAATTAACAGCATTCTGTTTGTTGACTGGTCAGTTCAAAGGAAACTGTCTGGTTTTCTAGAAATTGTGTTGTGCTGCCGATTGTGTAAACTTGCAGGCTTGAGTGCTGAAGGCCAAAGCAAGGTCAACAGGCCAAAGTTTGGAGATTACAGAGAACTGAAAAGAGACATGAAGTACTGTAGACATTGTTTAGCTTGAGTAAACAAGCCAGTTGTGCCTCTGTGTCAGATTGCATTAGCATGACATCAGTGGGAGGGTTTGAATAAGTCAGAATCCTCCAGCAGTATTGTAATGGCCTTCAAGAGCAGAAGTAAACATCAAAGCTCTTCCTATGTAGTCTGTTTGATTTGGTTGTATTGTTCATTTTGTTTCTTCTTTTCAGATTTGAACAAGAACAGTTCAATTCCATTTAACCTTTGCGCTTTTCCTTTAAAAAAAATCAAAGAAATATTTTTAGAAATAGGTAATAAGATTTTTATAAATTATTTTATTGTAATTTAATAACAGTTATTATATTATTGCTATAATATAAATAGTTATATATTATATTAAGTGTTAATAATAATCATTTAAAAAAAAAAATTCCTTGCCCAAATTTCATGACTATCTTGTTGACTTTTTATGTATTAACTCTCCCCCTTCCTCTCTCTCTTGCCCAGGAATGACGGACATCGGTGCAGTGTCGCCACATTCATATAGGTCTGTTTGAGTGGAGCGGTGAGCTACTCAGTGCGTCGACGCTCGAACGGAATGATCCAGCAGGGTGACTAAGAGGAGGAAGAAGGGGGGAGAGGATGGGTGTGAATGCCTCCAGCTACCCTCACTCGTGCTCCCCTCGATTCGGGGGTAACCCACAGACCCAGCAGACCTTCATAGGTAAACTCTCATATGAATGCTGTTACAGAGATACTGTATGTGTCCTTCATAGTTTAGTAACTACTGTGATCGATGACAATAGCCGCTTTCCGACCGGAGGGACTTTTGCAGTTCCTAGAACCTAACGTTCCTATAACCCTTTTTTTCGCGTGTTCCGACCGGACTAAGTTGGGGATTTTTTAGTTCCTCAGACCGTAGTTCCTATAACTCTTTCAGTACCTAGTCTAGAGCGAGGACTTTTTTAGTTCCCTTTCCCTAGGTCTACGTTGATTGGTTCAACTTATAAGTCACGCCCACTGTTAACACATTTTCTTCACTGTCTGTTGCAATTCGCCTATGTAGGCTATGCTAACTCATAACTTAAGACAAACATAACGCATTCAACCAGCTAATTGCTAATGCTTGCTAAACTTACCCGTCGTTTTGTTTGCCTCCTGCGCTCTGCTCTTCTATCTTCTTCCATCATATTACTTAAGATCATATTACGCTGGAGCCTTCGTCTTCTGTGTTTCTCTGTACAGAACTCAAGATCTTTCAACGCCGCCGTTCGTACTCCGTTATTAAGGTCCCGGCAAGGCAGAACAGGAACATTCCGATAGCCTCCTCCACGCTGGTTTGTTGTTGTTGTATGTGGCGCCGCCGCCGCCGTGCTTGCGTCACTCCCTTACCCCTCCTACCAGTTCCTATGGCCACTTGGCCAGTGCGAACGCAAACAGCAAAACCGAGTTTGGGGGAGAGTAGTTCTTAGAACTGTTTAGAAGTGGACAGTTCCTATAACTAAGTTCCTGTAACTACTTGGTCGGAAAGCGGCTAATATAAAAGGTCTGACAGCCTGAGCACTATTACATCTTTTTTTGGCTATCTGATTGCATATATCAGTGGGATACAAAACCTAAACTCTTCGAATCACCTCGCAATATGATGATGTGTTTTTCAATTACAAGAAAACGAAATCTCTCTAAAAGACAGAAGATCCTCTTTGACTAGAATATAAAATAGTTCTACATTGTTTTTGTTAAAAAAAAACAACAACAAAAAATTCAATGATCATGTTTAGAAACGTTCAACAGCACAGAGAAAAAGAATCTCATTAAATTATTGACTTCACCAGTCTTCATATTCTTTCACTGTAACATCTTGTCTGTATTCATTTAAAGGCTTGGAAATTGTGTCACAACTGTCAGCAGTTGCTTCGTGTGGTTTTATTTATTTATTTATAAACCCCCCCCCCCCCCCCCCCCCCCCCCCCCTTTCAGGATCCCACAGATTCTGGCTTTAACAGCAAATTCTGATGTGAATATTTTTATGTCTTTGCTGTCTGTGAGATCAGTAAAGTAATGGTGCTTTCAAAACGCTAAGCCATGCATGACAGTAGGCCTACAATGAGAAATGGAACATTGGATTGAGACGTAAAGTGCCGTCAGGGAGATATTAGCCTTGCTGGGGAGGACATTAGATGACTTCATAGTTTCCTTTTTTGGCAGGTGAAAATTTAGAGATTTAGAGGGGGGAAAAGTTAAAAGTAGACATTAAGTGGTTTGGGGATGCATACTTTCCTTTTTTGAAATTGGAATTGTTTATGCAATGCTATGTCAAGTAGTGATCTCTTGCATGCACTATTTAAAAAATTACACTTTTTGAATTTCTTCAAAAAATAGCACAAAAAATATTATTTATTTTTTTTATTTTTTTGTTTAATCCTAATGGATGTCTGTTATAGAGAGACATTTCTCTGAAACGGAGTTCAATTTCAGTTTTTTTCTCTCATTGCATTCAATTTTCTCCATCAGTCTTATGTTATTAAAAGTCAAGTGCATTTCAGAATCGTTCTAAAGCACTTGCAAAAAATCAAAGCTCTGTGGTGTTGCATTTATTTGGAATAAACTTTAATTGTAACATAGGCAGACCTCACACTGCACATTTTCCTTTTGACAAATTTTAGGACATCCTGACTCTTACACGGCGTGTTTCTTTTTTGTCACCAGGCGCCTCCTATGCACCACAGGGTTATGGCGGCGAGTCCAAGCTCTACAGCCTAGAACATGGCCCTGAAAAACCTCAGGACAAGAAGAAAAAGAGCTCCGGTTTGGCTACGCTCAAGAGGAGGTTCATTAAGCGACGCAAGTCCAGTCGTTCGGCCGACCATGCGCGACAGATGCGCGAGCTCCTCTCGGGGTGGGATGTGCGTGATGTCAACGCCCTGGTGGAGGAGTATGAGGGCACGGCGGCACTCAAAGAGCTCAGTCTACAGGGGGGTCTGGCCCGGCCCGAGGCTCGCACACTGCAGCGTGATTTGGCCACCCTTTATCAGCACAAGTACTGCACCGACGTGGACCTGATCTTCCAGGATTCCTGCTTCCCAGCACACCGTGCTGTTCTGGCCGCCCGCTGCCCGTTTTTCAAAACCCTGCTTTCGTCATCACCGGGTTATGGGGCTGAGGTGTTGTTGGATGTTGGGACTGCGGGCATGGATGCGCCCATGTTCTCCTCGTTGCTGCATTACCTCTACACAGGTGAGCTGGGCTCGGAGGACGTGAGGTTGCAGAACGTGGATGTGCTGGTGAGACTGAGCGAGGAGTTTGGTACGCCCAACACTTTAGAAGCCGACATGCGAAACCTCTGTGAGCACATGCCGTATTTTGACTCGCTGCTGAGCTTTTCCTCGGACTCTGAGCTGGTGGAGGCCTTCGGAGCAGGTGGACCCTCTCCTAGCGGCATGGGAAGTGGAAATGCAGGGGTGAGCCACAGCTTGCCTGATGAGGAGCTAAGGGCCCATAAGGCAGTGCTCTCGGCGCGCTCACCCTTCTTCCGCAACCTTCTGCAAAGACGCATCCGCTCGGGTGAGGAGATCACTGAGCGCACTCTACAAACCCCCACCCGTATTATCCTCGACGAATCCATAATTCCCAAGAAATATGCCAGAGTGGTCTTGCACTGCATGTACACAGATGCGGTTGACCTTTCGATGGTGCTGCGCGGGAGCCCTTCCGAAGGCAGTCTTGGTGAAGTTCAGGCGCTGGTGGCTGGGAGAGGATGTATGAGCCGAGCCGAAGAGGCCATGGAGCTCTACCACATTGCCCTCTTCTTGGAGTTCAGCATGCTTGCTCAAGGTAAGTCTTAGCCTCGCTTTTATCCATTATTTCTAGTCTTTCTCTTTTGTTTCCTCTCGTTGCTCCACAATCGCCCAGCTTTGTTTACTGCTTGATTAATTCACAAACTGTCAAGGGACGACCCGAGGAACAGGGCGGGGTTGCTGTAGTTTATTCGCCCTAATGTTGGGATTACTGTTTGTGAGAGACTCCCATATGTACCCAACATCAATGTACTGCAACCTCTGCTCTCCTCTTAATACCCTCATCCAATTCTGCTTATATTAATATTACTTAAGGAAACAGGGTTTCTAAGGAATGTAGAATTGGTCCTATTATAAGTGTATAGTTAATAATGATCAAAGTGACATAAATCCGCTTCAGGGCCGACTTTCTGAAGAAGCCCTATATTAAACACTATTTACTTTGTGTAATTATGGCAGGAGGTAGAATAATAGGTCACCCACCTCAACACTTGCATTTTAGATTTAAATTTCTCATTTCTTATTTTCAATGTTTACTGCAAGGTTCAGCTATTGATTTATGTATAATGTCCCGAGTCTGTAGTTTCTAAAAATGACTGTTTATTAAGCCAGTTCTTATTGGTTGGGCTGTGCTCATTGGTTAGGCTCTGTGATATAGCTAAAGCATCTTGATATTTTCTATGCCTTTTGATGAGATTTGATATGGCTCTAGACATGTTTAAAAGGTGTAGGCCTATGTATAGCCTCGTATTTGTTAAGTACATTCAATATGTTTTATGCTAGAGTAAGTTTGCTGGATTTTTACAGCATAATTTTTCAATAAATGAACTATAATAATATGAAGAATGTTATAGTTGTTTTCATTAATGCTCTAACACAACACTCTATGCACCAGTAACAATATACCTATAATGCTACTGTTCAAAAATTCAGTTTCCATAAAATTATTAAGCAGCACAACTGTTTTAAACCTTGATAATAATAAGACATTTTTCTTGAGCACTAAATCAGCATAAAATGATTTCTGAAGGATGGTAAATGGTAAATGGATTTTAAAATGTATTAAAAATAGAAAACTGTTATTTTAAATTGTAATAATATTTCACAATATTAGGGCTGTCACTAACTATTAGTTTGTTAGAGTAATCAGTCAATTATTTTGACGATTAATCGAGTAATGTAAAAAAAAAAAAATCTGGTAATAAAAATAAACCTAAGCAAACAATAGCCTTTAAAATGACTCAAAATACAAATATAATAACAATGAGGCAATAATAATTGGTTCAAATAAGGCAAGTAATCATTTAGTTTTATTGAACAACACTGTTAAAATACATAATGTTTTGTAACAAATGCCTGCAGAGGGTGCCAATGACCTGGTGATTGTTGTTACACTTTACAGCTCAAATCCTTGTTTAATATTGGCCAAACATTTAACTTATTTGTCCACTTAATCTTTAATATTTGGCTACTTCTTTATGAAAGAAATGCTACAGCCACTCTTATTTCTTAAAGAAGAATATGTGGACATTAAAACTCAAATGGCAAATGGCACATATTGCGTTCCCAGATGAACGTTACAAGCCAACTAAACAGCATGTGCAGAAATTGAGTTCCAGATGCGCTCCGCACGTAAATGATAACAGTTTGTGTGGAGCAGCATTTACTGTCTGAATGGAGCCGCTCTGAAACGCAAAAAACAATTTCAATCAAGTAATTTAACGAAGGAATCCTGACCAGGGCGGTGTTACACAATGTTACTGTTTTACTGTATTTTTGATCAAATAAATGTCAGCCTTGGTGAGCAAGAGACTTCTTTCAAAAACATAAAATCATACTAACCCCAAACCTTCGAACATTAGTGTATGCACCAATATAACCAATATCCATATTAATTTGCATATTAATACATGAAAAATGCCACTCCAGAACCGTTTTTGAGCATTTAAGTGATTTGAGTTCAGTCAGTTTACCTTTTGGGCCATTTTTGATACTTGAAAGTTTGGGAATGTTAATATAACATTTCTGATTTAAAAGTCATGAGACGATGAGTATCACGAATCTACTTTGGTCATTACATGGTCTTTTGGAAACTTAATGATCAAATAAAAAGGCGTTAAAATCATTGCAATATTCACTGTTACTTGAATTTTATTTCACCATCAAATTTCTACTGACGATATAAAATTAGCCCTACTCACTGGAGGAAGAAATAACTTCCTTGAGTGGTATCTAAAGTAGTTTCTCAAAGTAATTTACATCTAATTTATCTCTGCTGCCTTGCCCAAATCTGCCGGTGTATTAGTTCTGAAAAAGGGCCCCCATGTTGCACATTTACTGGCTTGTACATCTCTTGCTTGCGTACTTTGTATCATCAGCCCCTATTGTGAATTAGCCAGTTTATCACTATTTACAGCAGAAAGTGATGGGCTTCAGCTGTGCTATGCAAAAATATGTTTTTCAGAGAGCCACCCATCCTTTCAATTGCTAAATCTACTGCACAGGTCTGCAGCGTCCGTGTCAGCTGATCCTCATGACCCATTGGTCAGCTGTGGTTTGTAACAGATAGCGATCCGATTCAGTCCTGTCAGCATAGCGATGATGAGCTCAGGGGGGCTTGTTTTCTTCCTGAACATGCTGCGCCATTTGCCACATCAATTCTAGATTCTTTTTTCCAGCGACATGAAACATATGGCAATTAAATACAAATTGCTTGTGCAACCCTGACTTTGATTTGATTTGACTTCATTTTTTTACAAACTTATTTGATTATAGTCAGAAAACTTGTCAGCTACTCCTGGTAGTTTTGAACGGCTATTTTTATATGGTACAATGGAATGCATGATATTTTCAACACACAATTTTATGATTCCACATTACTGCATTTGCATTAGTCATTGCATTTGCTTGTTTGTTTTGTAAGGACAAGTCAGTCCTCCATCAGTCAAAGAAAGCCCAAGATGGAGTACTCGGCACTGAAAATAAGCAATCATTGAGGTCATTTCAGTGCATGTGTGTTGATAGCCTCCGGTGGGAGACAAAGGTGGCGATGACCTCTAGGAAATAGAGGCACAGCAGTCATTTTACACCCAGTCAGCAGCCGGCCAGTGGATGGCACATGGCAAAGATAGGCTAATCAATGTGCTGACCAGACAGATACACGTTGATAAAAAGCCACCCATTGGTCTGGAACCGACTCTGCAGAGGAAAATCACTCTTGTTCACACTAACTGCAGGAAATCAGCTCCTGCAGCTGTGGATCTTGTTAACCTCTTTGTTAAACCTAAGCAATTAACTTTAAGTCGACATATGGTGGTGCCAATAACTGGTATGTGGTATCAGTTGTGTATGGAGAGAACTTTCCTAAATGTTTTGTCCTTTCTTGCTTTGTTTGATTTAATTGCTGTGAATTGGTTTGTTTGTCTGTTTAATGGGGAAGATAGACACTTTTACAGAAAAATTACTTTTCTTTGAGAGTAAAGAAGCATAAGAGATGTGCTCGCTTTTTTGGCCTCTGATGTGTGCGATTGACTGCCGTATGTTTACCCAGCTTGCACATGAGTCAATCAAATAAAAGGATCACAATCGTTTTCATAACAGCAAAGAACAAAAGTCATGTGATTGCCCTTCTCATTGCTCTCAAAATTGATGTCAAGAGAAAACGTGAACAGATAGCTGCACTGAAAGTGACAAAGTCTTGCCCAATGTACTATAGAGTGCCGAAGTGATGACGTCACTTTGTAGGACAACTCGGAAGCTAGCGGCGCATGGGTTCCTGCCTCGATCGAAAAGCTATGCATTTTCCCCATAGACTTTTGGAAAATCGCAAAAAATAAGATCTGTGTTTAACAAAGAGTTGTGACCCTTACACGTTTTGTCTATCAAGATAATCTTTACAAGTTAATCCAAAATGTATACATTTTGAAGCCTATATAAAGTTTTTAAAAAACACAAGCAGACACAATAAAGTTTAAAAAACCACAAGCAGGTTATAACTGTGTGTTCTATGTCATAGATCAAAACATGAAAATATTTAGAGGCTTTGTTCACCACAGACCTTATTTCAGGCGATTTAGCAAAAACCCATTCAAAAATCCCATAGACTTTAGAGCGAGGGAACTGGGAGTGCTAAAATGCTAACTCACTTCCGCGTTTTGGCCTACAGAGTGACGTCGTAACTTCAGCACTCTATTGACCTAAAGTTATGCGTTTCATAAACTAAATAACCCGACTTGTATCATTATCTTTGGTATTGTAAGGGGTATACAGTTAAAGACCCAGAACCAGATATGAAGAATGAAGACCCGGAGTCAGAATTATAAAAAATTAAAGAAAAGTTTTACTGAAGATAGTTTGCATTTTCATCAGCAGAAGTCAGCTTCAAGACTCACACAGGAGTTCGTAGGCCGCCCCGCTTACAGTTACAAAGATCACAGCAGTTATACCATTTCCAAGGTCTAAGCTACGTCATTGCTTACAGGTTGAATGATTCTCATTGGCTAAGAAACATGAAAGCCTAAACAATTTAACACATGTGAGGAGATAGGGGTGCCTATCGCCATTAGTAAAGATAGTTGTCGTCCACTCATTGGATTTAGGTCTGTGGTGGCCTCGCAGGTTAGAGAAGGGCGCCGGGGTGTCTGGTCCGACCGTCCAGAACCTACATAGAATGTCATACGCACACACACACAAATAACAGACACTAGCAAATAACAGCTCCCATCAAGGCTGAAGAGAGTCTGAGCTCCTTATTATCAGTTAAGTATACCAAAACATAATGCTAAAACATTCACTCGTTTGGGAGAAAAACAGATCACTGGCATTTACTCCCAAGGAAGGAAATATACTGGAAAGAATACATTTTAATACAACAATTAAAGTTCGATATAGTAACGCTCAATATAGCTTGACCATATGTCCAACGAAGAATCATATGTGCCCACGCTGCCTTTAGGACCCTCTAACCTTTCTACTGATCCCAGAGAAAGAGACAAACGGCTACGTGGGCTTGTGGGTTACGTGGCCTTCGTGTCCTGC